TTTAACAAGGCGTTTGGTAACGAGAGGGAGCCCCAAGTACCGCACTGGAAGCTGGCCTACATCAAAAGAAAATCTGTTAGCTATCTCCTGCGAGACAGAATCTTGAGTTCCCGCCAGAAATACTGTTGATTTTTCCATACTAATCTTCAAACCCGATCGTTTAGCAAAATCATCAAGCACTTTCACTATCCCTTCAATAGATCTCACCTTACCATCGGAAAGAATCATAAGGTCATCCGCAAAGCTTAGGTGAGTTAAGCCTAAGCTTTTACATCGGGGATGGTAACCAAATTTCCTCGCACCCGCGGCTTTGTCAAGCATTTTGGAAAGCACATCCATACTGATTACAAACAAATATGGCGAGAGAGAACACCCCTGTCGCAGCCCTCTTGCACTATTAAAATAGCCAGCAAGCTCACCATTAACTTGAACCGAGAAAGAGGCTGTGGTAATACAAAGAGAAATCCAGTGAATAAATTCCGGCGGAAAATTCAGAGCGGTGAGAGTATTAGTAATGAATGACCATTGGACTGAATCAAAAGCTTTCGAGATGTCAATTTTAATAGCACACCGCTCCGAGATTCTGTCCTTATGATAGTCTTTTACTAACTCCGTCGCAAGTAACAGATTCTCGATTAATAGCCGATCTTTCACAAATGCAGATTGGTTACCGGAGATAAATTTAGGGAGCACCGATTTGAGCCTGTTAGCAATGATTTTTGATATTACTTTGTAGATCACGTTGCAGCACGAGATTGGCCTGTAGTCTCTCATTACTCTCGCCTCCAATTTCTTAGGTATGAGAGCAAGAATAGTAGAGTTGATACCTTTGGGGAGAAAACCTTTCGCAAAAAAAGATTGTATCGCCAATGTGAATTCCTTTCCAATGATCTCCCAAGTCGCTTTATAGAATTCTGAAGTATAGCCGTCGGGACCTGGTGATTTATCATTTGGTATGGAAAATAACACTGTCTTAATCTCATCAGCCGAAACTGTACCTGTGAGCATTTCTTTATCCGTTTCTGAGCATCTAAACGGCAACAAGTCTTGGAGCTCACCAACTGTTGCACCTTCATAATCATTCGGGATTAACTGCAGAAATTCCCTAAAGAATCTTTCAGCCTCCTCTTTTATTTGTTCTCCTTTGAACGTCACAGAACCATCTTCACTCTGGATTTCTCTGATTGAGTTTTGTGCTTCTCTTGTCGCAGCCGCTCTGTGGAAAGTTTTATTGTTTTTGTCCCCAACATCCAACCAATGCAGTTTTGATTTTTGTTTAAGGTATCGCTCCTCTAAACCAGCCATTAGATCCCATCTACTGTAGGCTTCAGTTTCTTCTTCCATAGCTCTCGATGAAGGGTTTCTGAGATTTATCTCCTGCTTTTGACAAAGTGTTTCATAGGCTTCCTTTGTCTTCTTCTCCAAATCTCCCAGTCTATCTTTTGCCATGATTCGAATCTTGGGCTTAAGCCCCTTTAATTTTTTTGAGAAACGATGAAGTGATGAGGTAGACAGAAAAATGGCCTCTGTTTCTTCCCAGTAGCTTGCAACCATCGGATTAAACTCCTCCATAGTTGTAAGTGCATTGACGAACTTAAAAGGTTTACGACCACTGACCTGTCCCCCAGCATCAGTATTCAAATTTATTCGACAACGTAGGTGATCGGAACACCCTCCAGCTTCAAACACGCTATAAGATTGCGGATAAACTCGGAGCCAAGCATCATTTACCATAACTCTATCCAGCTTTTTAGAGATTAAATCATTCTCTCTTTTGTTGCACCATGTGAACAGCGGTCCATGGGAAGCTAGATCCGAGATGGAGCAATGGTTCACCACCATCTGAAAATCCCTCATTCCCGATGTAATCACTGGATTGTCCTCCATCTTTGAGTGCTCTGCCATGTCTAGAATCTCATTAAAATCACCAAATATTATCCAGGGTTTGCTACGAATGATAGGAGAATCAGCGTGATCCCTCAACTCATTCCATAAAACCTTGCGTTCTTCCGCAAAATTCGACGCATACACAAAAGAGCAAAAAAATTCATCCTCTTGGTCCTCCAATTTTACAGAACATGTTATTAGTTGACCACTTTTGTAGAAAGGACTTAGACGTACACTACCTCTCCAAACTACCCAGAGACGACCACGTCTGTTGTATTCATAATTTGTCAACACCGTCCAATCATTGAACAACTGACTTCCCAACCGAAACGCGTTTCTCTCCTTTACTCTTGTTTCTATCAAACAACCAAACTTGAAATTCTGATCAGTTACCCATTTCTTAATAACGGAATGTTTTGATGATTTGTTGAGGCCGCGAACATTCCAAAAGAAACCCGACATTAAAGATGTTTGGGAGGGATCCTTTTACTCTGATCTCTAGTTCGATCCCTAGTAGATTGAGTAGAAGGGTTTGATACGATTTTGTGAGCTGTTTTTGATTCTCGGGGAAGTGAAGGACGCAACGAGAGCTCTGCCTTACTCCCCTTAGGCTTTATTGGACCTGGAGCTTCTTTAGTTACCACAAGAGACGCCTCCGGTTGTGAGTCCTTATTTTCCATAAGCTCTGCAGCTTTGTTATTTCCATCATTCTTAGTTTCTTCGCCTGATTCCTCTTCTCCACTAAGAGCAGAGTAAGAGTTAGATAAAATAGAAACCTCACCAAATTTAAGCCCCTCTTGTCTCTTTCCCGGACTGCGACCGTGTTTTGGTGTTATCCAGCCCTGTTCCTGCTCCTTATCTTTTTCCTCCATACTTGTCTCTTCGACAACAGCAGCTGCCTTTGGACTATCACTACTTTTATCAGCAACTAAAAGGGCCTTATTGACTGATTCTACCATGAGTGCTGCTTCTGTAGGTTGGTGATCTTGCATATTCTTAGCCACAGCTGTTAGACAGGTCGTTTGTAAATGTCCCCATTTGAGACAGCAGCTACATCTTGGAGGAAGCCAAGGGTATGAGTATTTTATCACGACATCCAATTCTCCTTCTTCTTCACTTGTGAATATATACTCCTTTGGTAATTCCTTAGTCAGATCCGCTTCAACCAAGATTTGTGCTTCGTCAAAACTAACACACGTGTCCGTTTTCGGATGGAGTCGTTTAGGCTCGCCTACTGCGCTAGATAAGAACTCCAGACCCTTATCTGTGAACAAAGTTGGCGGGACATTTGTTAAAGTCACCCAAAGTGGGATAGATTTCATAGCTGGTTGTGCCTCCTCTTCATATGGAGTCCATTTCGAGATGATCATTGGAATATCCATGATGTTCCACATCCCTCTATTCAGCACTCTCCTTCGCATTACCTCATTTCTAACTCGAAATTTGACCGTGTTATCGTTTACTTCATAGACATCAATCAAAGAAGACCTATCCCCCATTCGCCAGATTTTATTCACGATCATGTGAATTTTCCCGACGTGTGGCGCTTTTGTATTGAGGAACTTTCCGATCAAGAAATCTTCCCATAATGGTTTTCCTGCAAACACCTCTCTTGGTACTACAACTTTCTCTTGCCCCTCCACTTCTGAAACCACGAACTTTTGTTTGGTGAAAACATGTTTTTGAGCGACACTAACCCAAGATCTCTTCTCGTTTTTGCCAGTAGCCACTGGGATCGACGATGATACTTCCTGGTTAACGACTTCCAGCTGATTTGAATTATTTTCCTTCGACTTTCCCATAGAACTTTCTGATACCACCTCCTCAAACCTTTGCAAACCCTCGTTTCCCTCTGTTCGACCAACTGCAACCACTGGAGACACTCCTCCACTGATCTCCGGCGCCGGATCTTCCTCAAATCGACGCGAAGAAGCCGCCGACGGCGACATACGTGCTTCAAACGCCAAAAACCCTAATCGCCTATAGGTTCGCCCTCCACGTCAGCAATTTGTCTCTCAATGTAATGATTTCTACCAAACTTTTCCAAGTAGTGATTTATCAACGATTATTAGTACAAACTAATAAGATTACATGTCTTAATCCTAAGAACTATACTTTTATATACACAAAAGGATTATTTATTGTGTACTAAAAGTATCAATGAATGATCATTTATTGCGGTTATACCGTTCTTATTATTTTTCCACACTTGTCATTATACCATACCTACTACACTCTCACAATAAGACATGATATAGATGAGAAGCTATTTTCACGTACAGTGTGCGATGTTGAGAGTATTATATCCTGATATTTCATTGTTTCAAAAATTAGTAGTATGAAAGGTCATACTGGTTTTTGAAATGAAATTAACTCACTTATATTTGATTAGTTAAAAACAGAACTATAATGAATACTAAAATACTTTTTTTTTTCTGCATTGAGATTATACAGTTTCTCTTGTTGAGAGTATGATACTAATGAATTTGATTAGTAGTCTCTCACTTCAATAGTAAGAGGTATCGATTTTTTTTGGGTTAAAATTATAATTATATTGTTACGAATCGAATTAAATTTAAATCATATAAGCGGTCAAATTAGTATTTAAATAAAAAATTAGTAATTTATAATCGGTTAGTTGAAAACAAAATTATAATTGAATTAAAAGCGGCCGGTATTCCAATGATCAATGTTTGTTTGTTTGTCCTTAATTGGCCTGAAAATAATAAAACTATTTTATGGTAATAATGATTGGTCATTGAGTAAATTTCCTTTTCCTAAAGGGGAAAGACAAAAGGAGACCTTTGTGGCGGAGAATATAAAATCTACTATACATTTTTGCAGCAGTTTTTGGGGTACCTAATCGGGTCGGATATTTTTAAATTTTGACCCGACTCATGACCCGCAAATTTTGATTACGGATCCATAAAATGAGACTTCCCAAAAATAATTGCAAGAATCTCGGGGAAATATTATCGTTTTCCACTTTTGCAACTTCCCAATTAATTGAGACTTTCCTAAAAAAACTATCTGTGGTAGTCCGCAAATCTTGAGTTTGAATTTTCCTTAATTTTCGTCAATCGTTAATAGTATATCTTTTTGGCAAAATTTCCCTACAAAAATGGAAACCACATTAACAATTGCGCTTTAATTTTGTTTAGATTTGTAAACTAACAACAAGCATATTCTCAAGATATTCAAATATCAGAATATTGCCTAAACCAAAACATCTAGAACATTCTATTAACAAGAATATTGTTTTTGTTATATAATGATTTCGAATCTTCCCTTAAACATGCATGGATCATTCTAATTTTTGATTCGTATCTATGATTTTTCGGCTTGCTCTCCAATATATCCTGAAACCGACGCTACCAAAACCTTAGCCTAAGAATCTCCTCTATAAATAACCATCTCCTACCCAACAATTCCCACAGCCACAATTTTCCTCATTATAAACGAGCCCTCTAAATTTTTATCTAGCAAGATATTTCTTTTGCATACTTATAGAGATGTTTTACCTTGCAAGTTTGCATGGCGTGTTTCAATTGAGGATCCTGCATACATGAAAACAATACAAAATGATGGTGAGGAGAAGGAAGATGTAAAAATTACGGAGAAGAAGGTCGACTCAAAGAAGTTGCTTGGTCTTAAGGTCAAGATTGAGGAGTGAATTGGTGTTATGTTTTAGCGTTGACGTTTGCAATTTTATTGGTTTGTTTAGTTTAATTTTCTTTGATTTTTTTTGCAGACATCACACCAGAATCTAGGGTTTTTCACCTTAAGTAATACAGAATTCACCCCATAAGCAATCATTATCATAATCTACACTATGAATATATTAGTTTACCAATTTATTTTCCCTTTCTTTTTGATAAAATAGATTATCACTTTTACTTTTTCAAATTGTTAAGAGGATCATTGATGGTACAACGACTCCAAGCATTATAAGTGATACAATGGATTACCATCTAAATGATAATTTTTTCCAATTGTTGACACTATAATACTTTCATGTTTTGTTCATTTTCTTTTAATTTTTAGAATTCTATTTTCATTATGCTCTCATATAAGATCCAAACAACAATGTTAAATCTATCTCGATGGTTAATGTTAAAGTACTAACTGTTATTATATACCATATGTCTTCACTAACCTTTGTCTGCTCTTGGGAGATAAGCCATTAGTGCCGGTACGTGAGTTAATATGTATATCCGTGGCAGTAATCACCTATAATGCAAAACAATTGTTAGTTTTATATTCAAGTATGACTATATGAATTATGTACCCAAGATGATAATGAACTCTTATATTTATATACTATATCAGTTAGCAAAACCTTATTGTTTCAGATTATTGCATCGTTCGCAGATTTAAAGAACCTAAGTTTATGTTTTTTTTTTCTGCATCACCAAACTTGATCCATGGTTTCACAATCCGAACCATAACTCGATATTAAGAGATGCAACATGTTCTTTCTTGATTTCCTAAATCAATCTAGATCTAGATACAGTTAACTTTGATTTCAATTCGAAGAATTCTATATCTACAAAAAATAAGAAATCGATTCCACGTCTTTTAGCTTTTACACAGAAACCCAATTTCTCGGATCTGGGATCGTCGTAATCGGCAAAGTCTATGAGCTGCTGGTGTTGATCAATCTATTGTGAAACAAAATCGGAGTTCAAGACTTTGAAGGATCGATAAGAAGAAAATTAAGAACCCTAAATTCGAAAATGGAGTCTGAGATGAAGGAGAAGATCTTACCTAGGGATTTAGAAGAAACATGTTTCAAATCGGAGCATGTTCACCGGCCATCTTGTAGATTCGATTACATGATCGGAAAATAAAATAAAAATTGATCATCTGAATCCATCTTGAATTGGCTCGGAGAGAAATCGACAATTTTCTCGATTTGTTGTACCAGCCATCGATTTTTTTTTTCTCGAGTAAACGTTGGTCATTTTTTTGGTCTATTCTAAGTATGTCTTTTCCTTTTAATTTCTTTTACAAAATATTAAAATATAATAAAAATTTTAATCAAATTGGGTTTTGCTGTCTTGGGATATATGGGCTTCGGTTTTGTTTATTGGGTTTGCATTGTTTTAAACTTTGTTTGTTTGTGTGTTTTATTTAGAAACAAATGATGCATCAAAAATTAAATATTTTTAACCCACATATACAATCTATATTATTATTATTATCATAACCTATATATTAGATGCAAATATCCATTTACAAAACTTTGAATTAATATTATGCTTATATATATATTTCTTTAGTATTTTATGATACAATTATAAATTGTTTTTACGGGTTGGTCCAAAAATACACACTAATTAAAAAATATATATATATTACGGAAACTATGTCAAAGCAAACTTTTAAATTGACTCGAATTATATGTCTTTTAAATAGTTATTAAAAAGAAAAATAACAAAATATGTAATTTCACGGGACGGAATTATATGGTGGGACGGGTTTGGGTTGATATTAATATGAGACAGTATACCACGGGTGAAATCCTAGAATTAACAAATAAAAATACAGTTATACAATCTTTAACACTAAACAAAACAAATGCAACTTACAATTTCTACTTTTTAGTTACAACGCATGTGATACGCGATGTACAACAAAAACTATTATATACTACAAATTTATCTATTTATAAAAAAGATTAAAAAAATCAAATAATTAACCCGCGGTGTACCGCGGGTCATATCCTAGTGTGGAAGATAAAAGTAAAACAGAAAAGGAAGTTTTTTTTTTCTTCTTCGTGATCTTATTATATAAAATATAGTTTTCAAAATTAATAACTCATAGGATCGTGACACGTGTCAAATCTACCGATCTTAGATTTTGACACGTGTAAAAAAAAAATTTCCTTTTTAAAATAAAAAAAAAAAAGATAATTGTACGTAATTATAAATTTAAATAATTTTAAAAATGTAAAAAATATTTATAAAAAAGCTAATTATAAAAAAATGTAAATTTAAAAAGTTTTAAAATGTAAAAAGATAACTATAAGGAAATTATACCTATATTTCCATAAGAGATTTTGCCATATAGTAAACAAAAGTTTTGTTTTTAACAAATTAAAAATATAAAAAGAAAAATATATGTATATAAGAAAATAATATGTATATTTTTCACAAAAATTTTATTTATAAGTTACTAACTGTAAAATATAAAGATTTAAATATAGAAAAAGATTAAAAAAAATATACAATCATTTATTAATCGTATAAGAAAAAGGATAAACAAATAGATTGTTTCATATTTTTCACCAAGCAGACTTATTTCTTCAGAAACACCACCATTGTGGATGTCGGATTCACACACTCAAGTATTTTTATTAGTAGGAAAGATTATTCTTGAGGGACAAAAAATAAGAACGTAAAAGGCTTATGAATTGCTACAAAAATTGCTATCGTATTTCTTGCTCAAGAGAGAGATCTCTTTTACATGGCCATTGGCCTCTATACTTATACATAGAAAAATGACATTTAAATGGCTAATTAAGTACAATTATTCTCTCTTAAATGTGTCCGTTTTGATTCTTTGATTTTAATGCTCAACGTTTGAATTTGAGTTGACTCTGGTCTTTATGGGCCTCGCCTTTTGGCCCAAGTGTCCTTGAACCGACTTACCTGTGTCTTCTACACCGAACTCATCTCGAAGCGCAATCACTTCGGATTCTCGAAGTGGTGATAACCACTTCGACCGTTCCTTCGGCTCACGGGTCCAATGGGCTTTATCCTTTATGGGCCATTATCTTGTCTTCGTGGCAATCTTTGGTTGGTCTCGGACTTCTGGTGCGGGATCCGACACCAACAATTAGCCCCCCAAGTTCTTCGAAGTGCTATTCCAATTCGGAGGACTTTAAATGCTTTAATGACCAAAGATTGCGTTCCGAGGAATCTTCTGATTTCTTCCCGCCAAGATCCCATCAGCCCTTTAATTTCGGCGCTACCCGTATTTAGTCGCGTGACATCTGTCACCATTATGACCGTATCTTAATTATTTTCTATTAAAGCGGGAAACATTTCCACTTCCCCCACGATTCCCAAGGCGGTTTCATCATTATCACTTAGCTTTCGTGAGGTAACTTCTTTCATCATTACTTTTACTCTTACGCTTTAATCGAAAACTTTCTCTTCTCTTTCTTCGCCGATTTTCTCTTTGCCGGATTTTAAATTTCTCATATTCTCCGATGACTTCTGATTCCGAAAGACCCGAGTCTCCATCCTTTGAAGGTGGCTCCAGTAATGACGAATGCACTCATCCTAACGACATAGCTGGTCCACACTACAGATCCACCTGTACCCTTCAATCCTTAGAGCGATTAAAAGGGCTTTGCCAGATTCCCCCTGGAATCATAGCGGAAGCGCAGATAGCCGACCCTACGGAATCCCCGGAAAATCATCGCGACGGCTACTTTTGCGTTTATGAAATCTATTTCAAGGGCTGCGAATTGACCTTCCCTCTTCCTGAAGCCCTGGTTCGATACTTGGCGGCTCTTGAGATCGCTTTACCTCAGCTAACCCCCAATCTTCTCCGAACCATCCTCGGGATCATAACCGTTGCGGCGGAAGCAGACTACATTATTGGGGTCCCCGAGCTGAACGAGCTTCTAAGCGTGAGAAGTTCGTCAAAGAAGACAGGGTACTTCTCAGCGTACCCGAATGCCAACAGGAACATCATCTCGCACCTCCCGAACAAGGATGAAAACTGGCACCATCCTTGGTTCCTGATTAAGAAAACTCCTACTTCGATTGGAAATCTTTCCGATGTACTCCCATCGAAGTGGACTGCAAAGCCCGGTAGAAACTAGGTCGTATATTCCCTTCCTGGTTGTTTTATTTTTTTACTGACCAAACTCGTTGTTTCACTTCGCAGCTGTCATCGCTCCGTCTCTTCCGACTGAAGAATTCGTCAAGTTCTTCAAAACAATCCTTGAAGGGGAAACCCTTTGGAATTCTTTCACCCTCGATCGGTTCGTTGAAGCCAATCAAAAACTCAGGATGAGTCCCCCCAATCAACTTCATCGTCTTCCGCTTCCTCCCTCAACTCAGGGAATATCAGCTCGGGCCTTTACTGCCCAGCGTAAGAAACTCTCCAAGCCGATAGTAGAGGCTTGCGATGAAAACAAGGCGTTCCTTGCGACCGCCATCGACAAAAAAGACTACAGCATGACCCTGCTGGTTGATGACAACAGCACCGAGGGAGCCAGATCCGTCGCTGCTTTCAGATTAACTCCTCATCGCGAACGTCGTGACGATCGTTCTCCTCGTCGCGAACGTCGTGACGATCGTTCTCCTCGGAGGGACCTATCTCCTCGTCGTGATTCTCCTCGTCCTCCCCGAGATGATTTTAGCAATGAACCACTTAAGAACTTGGTTCGCAGGAAGAGAGACAAGTCATCTCGCAGTAATTCCTCTCCGCGAAGGGAGAAATCAAGAGCCCGGACTGACCGTTCACCACGATCATCCTCTCCCACTGAACCAATGGGTCCTCCTCGACCTGTTGATATGTCTTCCTCTTCCCAGCCCGAAAGCGAGAAGACTTCCCGGAGTGCATCTCCTAAAAAGGGAGATTCCGAGTCTCGAGATGCTTCTTCGAAGTTAAAGCAAATCAAATCACTTTCAGGTTTGACGATTTACATATGCTTAAGAGTTTTTATCTCTGCTTAGATTCTAATTTTTACAACTCTTCTTCCCTTACAGCTATGGAGAAAGAAGGCAGTGTTTTCCGATGCTTCAAGACCCGATCGGGCGCGGTCTTGCCAGACTTCGACAAGTGGCGCCCTGCGATTCGTGAACGCTATTTGCTTCACGCTCATCATTCATCTCGGGTTAGTTCCGCTTTATTTTTCCGATTGTGCTGCCGTTCATCGAAATGCCTCACCATCTTGATTTCATGCATAATGGCAGGCTAACGGTGAGCTTAATGACATGATTGAACATTATGCGGGGCTGGTCCTTGGTCGGGAAAAGGAGATTGACGCGTGGAAGAAAAAACTTTCTGCTCTTGAGGCTGAACTAAGCTCTTCTACCGGCTCCAAGCACGATCTGGAGGACAAGGTCGACAATCTAACATACGAGCTGGCGAAGATAAAGGGGGAGCTGCAGGACCAGTACGACCAGAATTTCAAACTCCAGGATGAGCTTTCTGGTGTTCAGGGTAGGCTTCACGAGTCCGAATCAACCGCTGATTCCCTGAACAACCAACTTATCGAGCTTAACGCGAAGTACAAGGCGATCGCCAAATTGCGTAATTCCGAGTTGGCGAGGTCGGCATCGAAAGCCAGAAAGGAGGTTAAGGGACGCGGGATGGAGTTGATCCAAGGAGCCATCCGCTTCATTCAAACCGAGAAAGCTAGGTCAGACCTGGAATCGGACATCAAGGAGCATGAGAGCAATCTGATTTTGTTGGATCAAATCCATGAAACAGATTTCTCCGAGGTACAAGTGAGGACCGAACTATCGGCTAATCTTTCTGAAAAGCGGAGTCGCTTGGCAGCTCTTCCTACTTCGACCTTCAACCCGCAGGACTTCGAGGAATTCTTCATTGAATCGCCTCCTATAAGTGAATCGGGTCTAGACTGGGCAGGTAACGCTTGGCTCCTGACTCTTACTACCTTTTCCTCACTTTATGTTTTGTTTATTTTTTTAAATTGACTGGAACCGTCCTTCCTAGGCCCAAGTGAGACGGAAGATGTCATCCCACCCGAAGTTCCTGTGACATCGGAGGTCACCCCGGAGGATGGTTGTACTGTGGAGGGCGGACCAGGAGTTCCATCTGACCAAGCACCAGCCAAGGAGGCGAATGAAACTCCAACTGTCGAGTCGGAGTCTAAGGTGGCTGTTACTCCGTAGTGGCTGCGTCCACTTTAAATTGGGAATTGTCCCATTAATTTTAAAACTTAATTTCGAACTTGTTTTTGCCTAAGGAGGCTTTATTATTTCTTTTGAACAAGATATTTGCCTGAGGAGGCTTTTAAACCTTTCTAGGTTTTGACCCCAAGGGGGTTTGGTTAAAATTATGTGCGGGTTTGCAAAGTCCGCTTTTAACCCTTTGTGGCCTTGTGGTTATGCTTTC